TGCAAACATCGCCGCCGCCGTCTGCCTCCCGGGAGGAGAGGGGGGCTCTGCTTATACAGAGGGAGCTGCTTGGGCAGGAAAAGCCCGTTGCTACTTTCTTGTCTCTGCTTTATAAAAATAGCAAACTGTCCAATTGCAGGTGTCCACAGGCGTCGCTCTCTGACCACGGGCAATGGTGCAGTCGAGCGCCTGGATCCCGACAGGTTAGCTCTGTCCGGTAGGGGAATGAGGCCACGAAGACTGGCAGCTTGTTACCCACAGTTTCTGGTTCGCATCCAAAATTCTCTTAGAAAATTTTCCTTTTGTGTGTCGCTTCTTTCTAGGCAGCAGAGCCTCATCCCCTCCCTGGAGATGGAGCTCGCCACGCCAGCATGCACACAGCAGCCCCCGAGGAGCGGCTGCTTGACCCTGGTAGCCAGGCTCGGCCCCTGGTCAACCTGCTTGCAGCCCTGGTTGCCCCACAGTCAATGGGCACATTGTAAACCTCGGGACAGATGCGGTTGAAACATCGTTAAACCGGTGCTAATGTCACCAACCTTCATTTTCACCGGCATATTTGATAAGCGTTACAATTTGCCGTGAACTGGCCTGCGTGTCGGTCTGATCTCTGCAGGGAGCGGCACTGCGCAAAACCGCCTTACTCGTTTCCAGGAATGGAAAAGCTCATTCAGTCACTGCTTAAATTGATCTTTTCACTTCTTTAGCGAAGACTAAAAAGTCTAAACAGCCTGCGGGCCCTTACGCCGTGGGGGATGGCGAAAGCAGCCACTTGTTGCTGCGGATGCTCGAGTCCGGTGGGCCCAGACCCCCGGAGCAGAGCAGCTCAAACAAGGAGGTTGTAAAAGGGGGTCTTGAAGCCCCCTGCATGCTCCCTCGTCCTGGGTGCCTGTGCCCTGGCCAGGCCCCAGGGGCAGGCAGTGGAGCACGAAGGGCTTTCTGATTTACACTGCAGCTGCAGGGAGGAGGTCCAGCCGCTGGGAGGGTGGAGACGCCCCCGCTGCAGGGAGGGTGGTGATGGAGAAGTCCCCGAGGCCGGGCCTCTGCCCTCGGAGGCAGTTTTAGGGCAGCTTGCAGCCGCTCTGACCGAGGAGCTGGCTCAGCATGCGGGCTGCTGTTGCAGCAGAGAGAGAGCGCGGCGGCGCTCTGCTCTCGGCCATTACTTAGAGGTACCAGCTCCTGGTTTTGTGGGCAGCCAGTTGTCCTGTTAGCCCGCCGTGCTTGGAGTCTGCAGAGTACACGCTAGCACGGGGGGCACGCACCTTCTCTGAAGCTCCTGGAAGCAAAACCTTCCTAAGAAACAGCTCCCAGCACCACGGAGGGGGCAGAGGCACTGTCCAGGAGTGGGGGGGTGTGCAGGGGTCTCCTGTTCCCCTCCAGGCGGGTGGTGCTGTGGTACCCAGGTGTGTGGGGAATGATGGGGCACAAGTTGCCTTCTCCAGAGGGGCAGCCGGCTCACAGAGCCAGGTGCTCGTGCTGCCTGGCCCGGCAGCCTGGCGGGGGCACTCTGGGCACCGCGAGCCCTCTGAATTTTTCCCTGCTCGTTGAAACCGGGTCTCCAGGACGTTTTTGTCCTGCAGTCAGCCGCAGCTCACCTGACCTGCCACATGGGTGTGCTCCCTTCATACTGCATTAGGGATGCGGCTGCACGATCGATTCTGCCGTGCAGCTGTACACAACGCGCTGCGTTAGCAGCGAGCGCGCAGCCGGTGCCTGCCAGCCCCCGGCCTGGGGACCCCTGGGTGCAGGCGACAGAGCCAGCTTTGCAGGGGTGCGTTGCTGTCCTCCTCCCGAGGGAGCTCTGTCAAGGGCGCGATGCTTTGTGCACAGGATGGGCTGCTGGTCTGGGGCTGCAGGGTGACGTTCCCCAGGAGCTGTCTGTCGCAAGCCTCGCCACCTTCCCTTCGAAGGGCATTTCTTTGCGCTGCGGAGGGCAATGCGTGTATCCGAAAAAGCACCCACCCCCTGGCAGGGAGACACTCCACCGCACGCCCGTCTGCCCCCGGGAGAGGCCGAGAGAACAAACAACATGTGGTAGACGTTAGTCACATTGCATAACGCACGACTGGAAGGCGCTCGGGTACTGCGGCAGCGAGCGTGGAGGAAAACCGATGGGGAGCCCAGCAGATTAAGACACTTGAAACGCCCGGCAGGGCTGACTGCCCAGCAGAGCTCGTCGGTGGCCCCAGCCCCTGTTGTCCCTTCCCGACAGCCCTGCGCTCTGCGGTCTTCTTTTCGCTTTGCTTTAAAGCAATTTAAATGCAGCTCGGAGAGGTCCCCTTGGTTGTCGGGAGGGGGCAGGATCCGTAACAGGTCCATATTTCTTGGGGGCTGATGCACTGGAGAGCTTAACAACTGCTGCTCAACCTGTATCCGCTCGTGGAGGTGCTTGGAGCTGAAGGGTGGGCACGGTGCCCACCTGAGTTGTGCGGCCCCAGGCGTTCGGGGGCAAACCCTGGCTGGTTTCCCGAGGTGTTGCCGTCATGGAAATAATAAATAACTCCTTCTGGTTGATGTGTACCAGCGTGGGGGTGAGCCTGGTGCCCCGAGCATTGCAGCCCCGTGTTCCCTGGCTCTGCTCCAGCTTGGGAGTTGGCCTCTCCTTTGCTCCTGGCAGGTGCCTTCCCTGCAGATCTCCCCTCAGCTCTGGGGAGACAAACACCATCCATCCCCTTCTCTCCCCGGCAGACAGGTGTGGACAGAGCAGTAGCGCCCCACCACCCTGCTCATCAGGACACTGGACCCGCGTCCTGGGACGGCCTGGTGGTCACGTGGCCTCTGCCGTTCTCCAGGCCGCACCGCGCCGCGCAGGAAGGAGGCCCGTGTCCGAGGGTGCAGCACCGGCTGCTGCCCAGAGCGAGAGCTGCTGGACAAGCCCTCGTCTCGCTCCCACTCCCGCTCTGTGCAGCCAGCTCTGTGCCAGAGCCAAGAGCATCACGCCCCGGCCTGGGATGAGATGCACGCCCGCCTGCAGACCCCGACATGCCGGGCTGAGACCGTGGGCCGGGACGTAAAGCAGTCGGTGGTGGATCTGCTGCTGTTCTTGCTCCTGACTCCGCGGGATGGGTTTGGGGATCACAGGAGCAGAGGGCTGGGGCCCAAGAAGGAGTGGGGGGGCTCGGGGTGGTTGGGGCTTGAAGGAGGCAGTTCGAGAGGGGCCGTGTTGCCTGAATGGCTCCCACTCCTCCCTGGACTCAGAAATGCTCGAGAGCTCCTGGGTTTGCACGGGCCACGGCTTAGGGCTCGGCACTGATTGGGAGTCGAGACCAACCCTGAATGAAGAGCCAGCACCCAGGTGCTCCCTGCAGCCCTCCTTGCCCACACCAACCTGGCCCAGCCCTACCAGCGTCAGGGTCCTGGGGCTAGAGAGCAAAGTGGAAGCGGGGCAGGCTGAGGCTGAGGCTGGAGGAGGTCCCGGCTCACTTTGCTTCCCAACAGTGTGAGCAGCCTACGGGGCAGGATGCCTGGTTGCATGGCAGCCTGGAAAGCAGGTCAGGTTATAGCTTCCAGACGGGCTGGGGCTGGGGAGGGGCTGGAGGATGCTGGTGCAACTGGAGCAAGAAGTAAAACCCAAGAGGCTCCTGCATTGTGTGACTGGGGGCAGGGTTTGCATATCTGAGGAGGGAGCACGCGTCTGAGCTAAGACTGGACAGGTCCCCAGATCATCAACCACCCCCTGCTTTGTGTCCACATCAATCCTTGATGCAGGCGTGGGCGCCTCAGCTTCAGGGTTGCTTTCCCAAGAGCCCTTGGGAGACTGGTCCAGGCTAGGGTGAGATGGGGTTGCAAAAGCCCCGACCTTTCTGGAGCTGACAGGAAAGATCTGCAGCTCTGTGTGGCGCCGGGGGTCCAGCGTCAGCAGGATGGATATGCCAGGGTGCGTGATTGCTCTGCCAGCCTTCAGGGTCATGTGTGACAGAAGGGGATGTTCATAGGTAGGCCACGTCAGCATGGAGGGGCCTCACCAGAAACCATCCCCGGGGCATTGCACACGCACTGCACGTTGCACGTGGCTGAGCAGCGAGGGCAAGGCTGGAGGGGCCGCGTTCTGCTCTGGCCGCCGGCATATTTCCAGGTGCATCTCTGCAGCTGTCCTGGAGCTGGAGGGCACCTGGGGAGCAGGACGCGCCTGTTGTGGGGTACGTAGGTGCCAGCCGGAAGAGC